ATATCCTTATTTCAGATTGCTATCATGGCAATGCTAACCTCAGAGAATGAGATTAAAAATACCCAGTAAACACTTAAAACATTGTTTATTATTTTTACCTCAGAAATGACTTATAATTTACGAGCATCTAATAATAAACTTTTCCATAGAACGAAAGGGCAGGTCAAATGTGCTGTTGTTTGTTCTGAAAGTAAGTTTTACTAGTTAAATAGATTTACCGGAAAATCTCAAATGCACTCAACTCCCAGTGAGTTTAGACGCCACATCGGAGGATGGAAGTCAATAAATAAGAAGGTACATTTTTTTAGTTGTTTTAGAGTGGAAAAATATGCTGGCCTTAACATATAGAAGGTGTGTGTGTGTGTGTGTGTGTGTGTGTGTGTGTGTGTACATGCTTATGTGTGGGAACTACGGGAACAGTCTAGCAGAAAAGTAATAAAAGGTAATAATTACACACTGAAACAGCAGGGTTTTCACTATTTAGGGTCTGCTTAAAAGCTTCTCCAAGACCCAAACTCTGAAAATGCCCAAATCATCTGAAATAAAGAGGGAGTTTTAGCAAGCATCACATCTGTTCTAAGATATATAGTCTCTATGATATTTATGTTCTATGATGTCTGTGCCATGATACAATTCTACTTGATACACGACAGGGGATTATTTCCAACTGTTCCTTTACTTGAATGCCCCAATATCCTGTGGTTAATTCCTTTTACTTATTTTTAAGTGTCTTGTTTTAAGGGGACTTAATTGGACTGAATCATGAGCTCATACTCTACAAGAGTTCAGTAGGCTCTTTGTAAATTACTCCAGTTGGCCCCCAAACTGTTGTGGAATGTTTTGTTACATAAGATAAAAGTTAAATAGATATTATGTAGTAAAATACAGGTAGAGTTAAAATACATTTTTTTCTGCCCTATTATGTTATTATAATGGATTTTAAAAGAGAAATGTTTGATTTCTAATAACTAAATATGTGCTATGTAAATACTGGTTGGATAAATTAACTTACAGAGTAAAAATATGGAAAATGCATATAAGGGGAAATTATCTCATGATAGTATTTGGTTAATACATCTCCGCTTTATAATCATAGCTATTTGTGCTTTGTCTTTGAGAATAATAAAATACCGTGCTATATTCAACCACACTTATGAGTCATATTAACTGAATTTATTATTCTAATGAGTATTGCTTCACCAGTACCACAATGGTAAGTTTCAAAGTTGAGTAAAATGTGAGCATGGGCTATTGGTTATGATGACAAACATTAAGTGTTTTCCGAAGAGGTGAGCAACACAGGGAACGGATGCCTGCCGCAGACAGAGCAAAAGTCCGGGAAAGACCTTCACTAGCTTTGTCTCGGGAATCATGGAGCACTTTCTACGAGTTATGAAGCACCTGCTACTACAGAAAGAAGCACACACACCCGAGCCCACGCACTCACCGGCACCATTCATTTATTTGATCATGTAGGGAATGAATTAAGACAAGGAGAAATGGGAGATGTTGAACCCTTAAAAAGTCTCGGGAATCATGGAGCACTTTCTACGAGTTATGAAGCACTTGCTACTACAGAAAGAAGCACACACTCGAGCCCACACACTCACCGGCACCATTCATTTATTTGATTGTGTAGGGAATGAATTAAGACAAGGAGAAATGGGAGATGTTGAACCCTTAAAAGAAGGGAAATAAAGGTAGGCATGGTGGTACAAGTCTCTAATCCCAGCACTCCCAAGGCAGGGGAAGGCAGATTTCTGTGAAATTGAGGCCAGCCTGGTCTATAGCAAGTTCCAGGACATCCAGGGATACATAGTCTTAAAAACAAATAAACAAACAAAATCCCCCCAAACAAAATAAAAAACAAACAAACAAATAAATGGAATCATAGTAAGTGGCATCTTTATTCACCTCAGTTTTACTTAGTACTATTATTTACTTTACTGCGGGTTGGTCTACAGCTGAACTGAAAGTATTATTACCCTGGGGTGTGAGGGAACTGCGTTAAGAGTGTTACAGCAGCTAAAACTTGGACACTGGGACACCAGAGAAATCTACAGATAAGCAAATCTTCAAATTTTATGTAAACTCTCACCAAATATTTATTTGACCTAAAAGCTGTGAATATACATGTGAGGCTCCAAGGACCTCAACAACTAGAAGGCTAAGATGAGACTTCTACTGGTATCTTCTGCACAAAAACAGGGATTGAAATTTGACTCTGGTCTGGTTGCAGAGTCAATAGAGTTCTCTTTGTAGACTAGTACCCGGTTACAACCGTGATTTAAGATGGAATATTATATCTCAGGGCTAAGGACGCATCTAAGATGAAAGACAAAGTGGAAGTCGATTCCCTGTCCAAAGCATACATCAAGCAGCAGGAGCAGGTATCAGCCAGTGATTTCAGTGGCTCCTGGAATCAAAGCTACTGCTGTTCAGAGGCTGATAATCAAATGCAGAGCCTGCGCAAAGTGTTTTCAGTAAAGTCACATACACAACTAATTTTTTAATTTTTTAATTTATTTTTTTATGTGTATGCGTGTATTGCCCGCATGTAGGTAAGTGCACCGATGTTGTGCAATGCCCTCAGAGGTCAGAAAAGCCTGTCGGATCCCCTGGAACTGGAGTTATGGACAGTTGTGAGCTTCCATGTGGGTCCTGGGATTTGAACCCGTGTTGGGAGCCTGAGTCTCAGCATGTTGGGAGACGTCTCAGCATGTTGGTAGACTGAGTCTCAGCCGCTTTTTAAAACTGCTGACAGACCTAAGCTGGCTACTTTCCATTTTGCCCACAGCCTTGGCCCAAAACATTGGCAGGTAGCCTGGGCCCAAAACCTTGGCTCACAGCCTGGGCCAGCAGCCTGCCGCCTTGCTCTAGTTTAGGTGCATAGCTCTGTTCTCGGTTAATCAGTAGATTCCTCCCTTAGAGTACATCAAGACCTCTGTGTTCTGACTGATGTGATTACCCACTCCTTGCTCCCTTGTTTTCATTCTCTATTTAAACTCATGCTTGTGTTTCAATAAACGAGACTTGATCAAAATCCTGTCTTGTCTCCATTTCTCTTGTCTCTTGCCCAGTCCCATCCACATCCCCACTCCTCAATTCAGCTCCACTCCCCAATCCCAGTACCTCGTTGCAGACCCCGCGGGCCGGGGCAAACCCAGGTCTTCTGATTTGAAGCATAGTAAAGGTAAAAGGTACTTAGTAAGAAATTACCTTGAGCTGTCCTATTTAAAAGCAGCTATTATAAGCATATTAAGGCAATGAAAGATAGGAATTTATCCTGAATTAGCAGATAAGAAAATATTCACAGAAAATGAATACTTTAAACAAGAAATAAATTCTTAAGCAGAAAACTACAATGACTGAAATAGTAAGGATCCTAGTGAACAGGCTTGGTACAAAGAGAAGGGACTGAATACTCGCAGATCTTTAAAACTGACTCATAAATACACAGGATGAAGGAGAAGGAGAGAGGAGGGTGATGGGAGAGAGAGGAGAGAGAGAGAGAGAGACTGAAGAGAATTGGAAACATTTGGTTCGATACCATGTAATATACAAAATGTAATTTTAAACGTATAATAACTTAAAATTTTTAGAAGAATAAAAATTCTAGGAGAAAATGAAAGGTTAGACAGAGAATCCAGAGACCAAAAAGTCTCGAAGCAAGTAAGCACAATAAACTCCTCAGAGTTTAAAGGGAACAGTGTGAAGGTATCTTAGCACACTGCTGAGGACAAAGCAAATGGGAATTAATGCTGCAAGCACTTCACTGTGTGATACAAGTGGCGACTTCTTAGAACACGGGAATCAGGAATGGACTAGAACATTTTTCTAACAGTGCTAAAAGGGAAATTCTACATCGATCAACTCAGAATTTTGTATCGTGAAAATACGTGTCAAGAATGAAGGCTAGCTCCTCTTGCTTCCCTTCTCGTCTTCCTCTCTCCCTCTCCCTCTCTTCCTCTCTCTCTCTCTCTCTCTCTCTCTCTCTCTCTCTCTCCCTCTCCCTCCATGACAGGTGAAAGTGTCATTAAATGTCTTGTTTGGCATCCAGTCCTGTGGCTGAATCTGCTTTAAATTTTAACCATCGACAGCTGCTAATCCCAAGACACGTTTAAAGAAATTCTCGAATTTCCGCAAAGGACAGACCTGAGATCTATCAATTATTTTAGGAAAAGCAGTTCTTCATCAGGTGACAAAAGACAGCAAAAATTCTCTCATTTGCTTGTCATTTAGATCCCTTGGTAAATAATCAGTCATCAAATTCATTCTGCCATTTTATTGACAGAATTATCTAGAGGCGAAAATGACTGCAGTGGAATGAGGCTGCCCTGGCCGTCTGGCCTCAGACTCCAGGGGGATGGAGGGGACCGGAGGACCACCTGAGGGACTGGGCACACAAGATGATGATTCGATTGACCATGGGTGCCTCTATATTGGTCTCAAAATTCTGAGCCCAGGACATGGCAGGTGAGAAAAGAAATGATTGGGCCTAGAAATATGGCTCTGGGCCTCTTCATCTTCTTAAGAATCTTGATACTTCTGTATTGATTTCAGAATTCTTAACTCAGGACTTGGCAAGTAAGAGGGATAATAATTGGGGAGCCAAGATCACTGTACATGCCAGTGGGGCAGAGCCAAGCTGGCATGTCCACCCACACGAAATGACAGGGTGGAGCCGAGCTAGGCTGCCTATCCACTTGTCCTGGTTGCACCCTTGATCATCTGACCGTAATCATCAACCAGTGGCTGACCAGACCTGACTGAAGACTTCAACAACATTAGGAATCTGAGAAGGCTACAGATTTCAGAAAATAAGCTAGAGTACACTGGTCTATAGTTTTGACTATAATAAAAATTCATTGTATGAAATTCATAAATCAGTGAAATTTCCATTAAACTAAAAAACAAACAAACAAAAAAAAACAACAAAGAACGAAGGCAAAATGCTTTTCTGATAAAGCCAAGAGGTTTGTTTAAAGGATAGGCAAAATGTGTTTACTTCATCAGCACACAAATAAAACCAGAATTATCCACAGAAGATTAATATGATCCTTGCAAAAGGATGACATGGAATTTCATGAAGTAGCCAACATTTCTAAGAACCAAGATATGGAGTCAGTTGAGAGACAACAACATATAAAATGTATAAAACACATGGCATGTGTGTACAGTGGAATATTATTTAGCCACAGAAGAATCAGATCCTGTCATTTATGGCAACATGGTTGGGTGAGGGGAGGGGTTGGTAAGTGAAATAAACCAGATCCAAAAAGATAAGAACCTCATTTTTCCTTCCCACTCATGGAAAATTAAGTAGTTGATTTCATAGGTGTAGAATAGGGTCACTAATGGGTGGGTAAGGGGAAAGGCAGGGCTGACATTGAGTACCAAAATGCCATTGGACTGGAGAAGTATGTTGCATAATAGGGAAACTATAGTCTGCAATATTGGACATTTCAATAAGCTGTTTGAAAATGTCCAATACATAAAAACGATAATATTGATTAGAAAGAAATATTTTACCTGATTTGATCTTACATCTTATATACATATGAGAAAATTTAACACTGAACATTATAAATAATTACAAATATTATGAAAAATGTCTTCATAAATATGTTTGTAAGTTAGGGTTTATTCAATTTCATGAAATTTAAAGACAAAGCAAAATTATATCCATGTAGCCTGAAAAATTAAGGATTTGGATTGTGATTTCTAAGTCATAATCATAATGTACCTGTTTTGTTAAATGGAAATTGTCTCTTTTATTTAGAAATTGCCTTTTTAAAATTTTTCTTTAAATTAAAAAAAATCTTATTTGATGTGTATGAATGTTATGCCTGCACAGGTGTAAGTGCACCTATGTCAAGCTGTGCCCAAGGAGATGAGGACAGTGTCAGATCCCCTGAAACTGCAGTTATGGATAGGTGTTAGTAGCCATGTAGGTGTTAAACTGAACCCAGGTCTTCTGCAAGAGCAGTCATCTCTCCAGTGACGAAAAATTTCTTTTTATACCAAACTGTCATATGAAGGAAACTCCAAGTCTAGATTTCTTCAGTGATCAACTTTATCAAATATTTACAAAAGCAATACTACCAATCTTAGGCAATCTTAGACCATTTAGACAATTTTTCGAGAAAATAGAAAATATTAAATTATTTTATTAGGACATCAAAATACTGATACAAAAGCCTCATGAGGGTAAGTCACAATACAGGCATTACAGAGAAATATCCATAGTAATTGGGACATGAAATTAGAAATGGAAAATGTATTTTCAAATTTAATCCATCCATATGTATAGAGCCACTGTACTCCTGCTTGAGCCCAGGAATGTAAGGAAGGAAAGGAATCTAATAATATACATAGATATATGACACTTGTAAGCAGAGATTACTTCAGAGAAGCAAAGTCTAACATTCAAAAGACCATCAATATAGTTCAAAAAATTAGCAGAATAAGAAAAGGCTTATGGTTACCTCGTCAAATGTAGGACAGAAGTTGGCACAAGGCAGAACATTGCCAGTGAAAACTGTCCACGAGGAACGGAGGGAAGCGTCTCCCTGGTGCTGTGGCCAATGCTATTAAAAGAGTCAGAGAAATAAAAGGCACATTTATTCTCATATACCATGACTATCTTCAGAGAAAATCTAAAAGGATTTACAAAAACAACTATAAATAAATGAATTTGTCAAAAACAGAAGATATGTCAGTTCACGAAATTAACTAGATTTCTATACATTGTTGACAAGCTACTGAAATATGAATTAAAATTTAAAAATAGTATAAAAGTACAAAAATATTGAGGCATATGATTGTATTAAAAGCTATATAGTATTATTAAATAAAATTAAAAAGACTGAAGTAAATGTGTATATATATTCATGCATTGGAAGACCTCATCATTGAACAATGTCATTCTTAGTAAGCTAATCTGTTTTTTAAAAATTTTAATTAATTTATTTTTTAAGTGTGTGAGTGTATTTCCTGCATGTCTGTAAGTGCACCCATGTCATACAGTGCCCACAGAGGTCAGAAGAAAGGGTTGGATACCCTGGAATTGGAGTTACAGACAGTTGTTAGCTGCTGTGTGGGTGCTGAGAATCTAAACTGGGTCCTCTGCAAGAGCAACCAGTACTTATCACCACTGAGCCATCTCTCCAGCCCCTCAAGCTAATCTGTTTAACTGTTTTTACAGCCTTGTTAAACTTTAAACTCTACTTGAAAAAATATGTTGACATCTCACAGAAGACAAGCTTGAGATGCTCATTAACTTTATGAAAATCATTGATTTATTTTCCTGAGTTTGCAAATAAGGAAAAAGCGAAAGTGGTCATTGGTTCAAGGTGAAGGACAGAAGTAGACAGAAGGCCAGGAGGAAGGATGAGGCCCGCAGTTTGCTTCGTTTTTCATAATAATTTTTTCCCCAATCCTGTCTAACTTTCGGGCAACTTTGTGTCTGTATTCTACATATTCTACTTTTCCCAAGAAGCTGTGAGTCACTTCACATTATTCAATTTAAGTCACAACAACTGTGTGGCAGAGGGCCAGTCCTCATTTATTTATTCCTCAACTACATAGCATTTGAACACGAATAAGACACTGTTTAGATTCTGGGAGCGTGGCAAAGTGACCCAAACAAATCCCAGCTCTCATAAAGCACAACACAACGATCAAATGAGAGAACGAGTGAGGGCAGCCAGGCGGAGGAGGCAGCTCAGCAGCAGTGCACCTGCCTAGCATGCACAAAGACCTAGGTCAAGCCAGCAGGGTAACCAGACTCCACTGGTTGCATCTTGGTGAGTGCAAAGCCAAAGCAAGCAAGGCCCAGACAGAAGAGGGATAGGGATTTTTATCAGGTGAGGCAAGATGGGAGTTAGTTTTAAAGAAACAGGAAGGAAGAATGGGGTTTACTGAAGGGAGTCTATTCATATTCATATAGGAATGCACCTTAGAGGTGGGTGTAGTCTAGAGTATGCTCAGTTATGGATGACATCAGTGACCTGGCTCAGTTTAAGCTCTAATAGACAAATTTTGCTGTATGCTTAATTCAAAGTCATGGAACATGTGATTAAAAGAGATAAATAATGCCTAGCTAGTATAAAAAAAAAGAGGAAATCGTATTGGTTCAAAACCTACTGAAAAATTGCACATATAATATCTCTATGTGAGTCCATGTGTATAGCTGAAGGCTACATACAAGAAACCGTGCCAGACAGGAGAAACCTTCCTTTGAGTTGTTGGCCAGAGTAGTCCAAGAGGCTTCCAAAATTACACAGGCTATTGGCACAGCCCTTGATGGCCTCCCAGAACTTGAAGGTAAGACCCTACTGCTGAAGACAGGACATACTTTGGACATGGGATTTGGATCAATGGAGCAGGAACTGACCTGGAAGCCACCTTCCCTGAAGGCTAGCTCTCATAGCTTTGAAGAGCACTACACAAGCTGCTAAGGGGAAAAGTTAACCAATGATCCAACCCCCGATTTAAGATCTAATAACCACATCAATTATGGAAAAAGCAAAGCACATTGGTGCAGTAGTGGCACTTTTATCTTGGGGTAATCAACAGCTACATAACTGGATTCAAAGCCCACTCAATGGGAGACAACTCAAGTGTGGTACTGTAAACATAGCCAAATACACAGGGCTGGAGAGGTCATAGATCCTGGAGAAAACCCCAAGGCTGTCACATCCTTAGACTAATGTAATTTCTTACTATGTTTTAAATATGGATCCTTATATTTACAGACAGATATCCCAGTCCCCACTCATCAAAGAAGCTTCTTTTGCAACAGAGCGATTATTACAGTCCCACAACTGGTCATACACAGAGCTTGTCTGTGAACTGCCCAAGCCTAAGCGGCATATCTACAATGCACCTTCTATATCTAAGGCTCAGGGAACATAGAACAAGTGGTAAAGAGGACCCTAATACATCTCTCAATTCTCATCAATGAAGCTCCCTCACGTAACAGAGGGCCAAAAGCACAAAAGGTCACAAATGGCCAAAGAGTAGAGAATAAGAGTCTGCAGAGTGTGGGTCCTTAGACAGGGCTCCTGTATTAAACTCCATGCACCCAGGGTTTAGGAACCAGGGGTGGAAAGACTGTAAGAGCCAAGGAGGAGATAAATGACCTTATGGAAATAGAGTCTTACGGTCTCCTGGGACCTTGTGCATATGAACCTACAGCAATTGTGACAGCATGCACAAGACCCATGCAAACTCAAATAGATAAAAACTCAGCACAGAATCATTGAAAATGATTCTGCTGGGTGAGGAAGAGCTGATCTACTCAAAGGGAGTCTCTAGATAGGCTACCACAGAATCATTGAAAATGACAGTAGGCCTCAATCTTAGTCAAAGAATTATTGGCAGGTGCTTACTGCTGGGTGAGGAAGAGCTGATCTACTCAAAGGGAGTCTCTAGATAGGCTGACTAGACCTTGGTGGATGAACTTGTACCGAGTGACATCTGGAGACACTAACTTGACACAATAGGCCTTAACACAAAAGACGGTATGAATTCCGGGGCGGGGGGAATCTATGGGAGGGGGCCAGTGGGAAAAGGGGTATAGAGGTAATTAAGACAGTCTATATGAGACATACAGAAATTCAATTAGAAATATACAGAAAAGATAACTGTACTAAAGCATGACTGGGCCTGCTCAGTTTGTGTCATGAAATTTCATGACATAAGGTAAGAACACTGTTTAGAAAATATTTTCATGACTCCGTCTTTACTGAATGTCTTTGAAAAATATTTTATTGTGTTTTTGACAATTTCATACAATAGAGTTTTATCATATTCAGATTCTCTTTCCCATTTCCTCTCGGAGGGACCCCACCTCCCACCCACCATTCACCTCACGGCCTCTCCTTTTAAGGCCTGTCCAGTTTAATTTGTGTTCCCCCAAAGCTCTTGGGTGCGGGCCCATCCCCTGGAGCTTGGTCAACCTACTCATGTCTTACCCTTAAAGAAAACTGCCATCAGGTATCAATAGTTCGTCAGCTAGAGCTGGGGCTTCTTTCCCGCTCCTTCCTCCAAGCTGGGTTTTTGTCTGGTTTGAACTTTCAAAGGTCTTGTTCATGCTGTCA